AATGGCAGAGAAAAAAGATTTTTTTAAAAAAGTGTGAGAACTTAAATGGACCTCCTGAACGTTCATAGATGCCCGACTCTTCCCAATAATCACCTCGAAGCGGGCGGTTTTGTTCTCATTTGATCTTGTTAGAAACTGAACGCATATCCCCAGAGTGTGGAAGCGGAGGTCAGGATGCAGAGCGCGCTGTTTCTGGGTCTCCTGGGGTGAGCTCAGGGTGGAGGGTCGGTGAGCGCCAGGCTTCCAAGTGCCTGGTAGTCAGATGGGTTTCCTCGCCTCCTCGCAGGGCTACCAGATCCCAAAAGGCTGGAGCGTGATGTATAGCATCCGGGACACGCACGAGACGGCCGCGGTGTATAGCAGTCCACCTGAGGGTTTCGACCCGGAGCGCTTTGGCGTTGCGCGTGAGGACGCGCGAGGCAGCCTCGGCCGCTTCCATTACATCCCGTTCGGCGGCGGTGCGCGGAGCTGTGTGGGCCAGGAGCTGGCGCAGGCGGTGCTGCAGCTGCTGGCTGTGGAGCTGGTGCGCACCGCGCGCTGGGAGCTGGCCACGCCCGCCTTTCCCGCTATGCAGACCGTGCCCATCGTGCACCCGGTGGACGGGCTGCGGCTATTTTTCCATCCGCTCGCGTCTTCGACTGCGGGCGATGAGCTGCACCTCTGAGCTGCCGAGCCCTGGGACTTGTCTGAGCCAGCGGCAGTGGCGCAGCCGGAGCGCCGCCCGTCTGAAGTTCTCCAGTGCGGCGTTGCTTGCACATTCGCCCGATCACTGATCCGACAAACCTTCACCGAAGGTGCCAGAGGAACAATGCGAACTGAACCGTGCGGGACACTGAGTCTCCCAGTGTGTGTGTGTGTGTGCGTCCCCCGCGCCCCACGCCCGAGAAACGTCGCGGCCAAGTCTCTTTAGCTCTTTTCCAGTACCTTGATCGCGGGACCTCGGTGTAGGGGAGAGGCTGTGTGCAGCTCGCGGGCCGTGGTGGGGTTCCCTGCAACCCTAGCAAAAAAGCGGTGATGCCAGAGGCGAGTCCCTGGCCTGGCTTTGGGCCTTAACCATGAGGAGACAGGTGAAGAGGGCGCCCAGCGGAAGGCCCTCAGGCACTTGGCCCCGGACTTGGTGCTCCTTGGCCACTCTGCACGTCTCAGCGGAAACTCAGCTGCGTGTGCTTCCAGGACTCTAAGCCGCCCAACACCCCCGGATTCTGCTGGCGACTTCTTAAAAGAAAACTGCCTGCTGCAAGAACGCATTTAATCTTCCCATTTGTATCCAGGGAAGAATAGGCACACCGCGATGTCTCGAGCCGGGATTATTTTCCTGGGAGGTTAAGACGTCTTCAGAGTGGTTTGAGATAGTCGTACCCAAAACAGGAAGGCTAAAAAAAATTAATAAATGAAGTTTGCTGGCAGCGGTGGAGCCTAGAGCCCAGGGTTTAGCTGGGCAGCTGTTCCCTGGTGGGAAGGTCCAGAAAGAACCTCCTCCACACACACACAGTGGAAACCTACAGTGGGCCCAGGAGTAGGGCAGCCTGGGGGTGCAAGCTCTATGATCTCCCTGACCCACAAGGCCCCTGCGAACTGGACAGCAAATTCTGCCCTATGGCTGGTGGCAGGACTTAAGTGCTCCGCATCCCATTGCAAAGGAAGCATTGAGGAAGGACAAGTGAACCATTTGTCCCAGGAGGCAGAAGTGGACCCTGAACACACACACACAAACGTGCTCTTCCCATCATTTAGTCCCTAGCCAGTGAACAAGTGTCACCCAGTCCGACTCTGCCGTTTTGCTTGGTTCCCTGGTAATCCCTTGCTTAACCTAAGGTCTCCCTGATCCTTGCAGCACAGAGGTTCAATCAGATTCAAGTGTTGCTGTGCCATGGTTCTGGCCCTTGTTTCAGCCTGTGGCCCATCTTCTGACAGGCCCCCAGCAGCTGCGGGAAGCTATGGTCCACGCCAGAGCTCATCTTTCAGTGAACCAGAAGGAAGACGGTGCCCTCCTGGCTCTGTGCTGTAGGTGGATCCAAGGGCATGATGGCCAGGGGTGGTAGGAGGTGTGTGCAGGGCACAAACACCGAAGCCCTCAGAATAGGGCCAACACCGCACAGCCCTCACACAGGGTGCTTCACAGCCTGCTACTACCACAGGTTCCAGTGCTAGGCCCTGGGCTGTGCATGCCTGGGGTGCACAGATGGCTGGGCCTGCCTTCAAGTACTGCTGAATTCTCCCAGGGAGGACAGCTCCCCCCAAGAAACACTGCAGGACATGGGGGGCCTTGCTGCTGGGATTGATTCTGATTTATGAGAGAAAGAGGGACCTCCTGGGAGACGGGGCCCTTGGCTTCAAGACACCAGGCTTACCTGCTCTGGATTAAACAATGACAGACCTCTCTAAGCGTGGCTTTGGTTCTGCTCTAATTTCCCCATCATCCATCTATCCTGCCCAGTCATGCTAAGGAGTCCCTCGGCTCTGGTGTTCTCCGGAGGAAGGAGCAAACCAGGTCCCTGCCTTCCTGGGCCTGTTATATTCCCAAAGGATGCAGACAAGAAAACTTCCAGAGAGTCAGTGCAGTGCAGAGAGGCCCTGCAGAGGAGGTTGCTTGACAAGGACCAGCCAGCGCTGGCCTGCGGTGGAGGGATGCCCCACGCCGAGGAAAGAGCGGTGTGGGAAACTGTACCAGGAGGCGTTCCAGGGAGAAGCAGAAGGGGAATAAGGGGGCAGGTACTTGACTGTCTTAATTCATCTCACTGGCTTCTGTCCCTGGGTCCTCAGGGCCAGCCTCCCTCCTTTGCAACAGGGAGGCTGTTTTGTAAACACACCGGAAACATTTTGTTTCCCAGTAAGCCAGCGCACCCCCCTCCCCCATCCCCCAAGAAACTTGGCAAGTTGCCCAGATCGAAGTTTTCATTGGCTGGTGATTTACTGACCCTCCTCCTCCCCACTTCAGGATGTCTTGAAAGCTCTTTCACTCTTAAATTTAATCCTTTCTTGCCTCGCGGACCCCCACCAGTCTGAATGGGAGGTGGGTTTTTTTTTTTTTTTTTAATTCTTTTCCCTGTGGCAATTTCCAGCGCCCAGGACTTGCTCATCTTGTGACCCGGCGCGCGCTGAACTTGGCGCGGTGGCCCCGCAGGGTTCATGCGGATGTCACGGTCCGGCCTGCAGGGGTCACAGGCGGGTCAGGCCGGAGGACTGGGACTGGGCCCCAGGTCACGCCCCCGCTCGCGGGCTTTGCTCACCGGCCGGAGGCACTGTCCAGAACGGGGCGGGGCCGGGATTTCTGAGAATTACCTCCAGCGCGCTTCGCCCCAGTTCCTGCTCAGTGTCCAGAAGCTGGCTCGATCAGTGTCCAGTCCCCAGATGGTCCGGAGAAATGCGGGCAGCAGAGACCCGCCCCCTCCAGAGCCTCTGACAGGCCGAGCAGAGCTCTGGCCAGATGCTGGCTCCCTGAAACCCACCCCGTGGTGACCCCCGGTTTGGAGCGCTGCTGGAACTGCGCGGGTCCTCAGCACTACCACAGGTCTCTCCGGACCTCCGCCCTGCGACCACGTGGGAGAGCCATGTATTTAATAAGTCTGGGTTCAAAGTTATTCATCTCCCAGGGCCGCTTTCTCTAGAGTGCGGGAGCGCTTCCGTCAAAGCCAGCGTTCCGTTCTAAATCAACGCACCTCATTCTGTTTCGATTTCTCCCCGGTGCCTCCAGCGCCCGAACCAACTGCCGGGCTAGTCCGAAGCGGCGTGGCTGGGCCAGGTGGGCAGCGTGAGCGCACGTCTACGTCCGCAGCACCTAGCGCAGGTGTGGGCTGCAGGAGCAATTGATTGCCGCTGGGCGCAGTCCAGACGCCCCGCTTTCCCATTGCCACTCCCTCCATTGGCAGCGGGGGTCGGGGGCGGTCCACAGAGCCCTGGCTTTAGTTCCAGTAGGCAACTGGCTCACCCGAGGGTGATGGCTTTCCAGCACCTGGGTGAGGTGCAGTAGCTACAGCGCCCCACGACCAGGCCAACTTCATAAGGCAGCCTAGAGTGCTAAAGCTGGAATATTGCAACCAGGATCCTCTAGGTCCGCTTGGGACAGGTCTGGAATGGTCGCCTCCATGCTAAGGAGGTAGAAGCATGCACAAAGGGCTTTTTTAGGGCAGCACAAATGGAGCCGGGTCTAGGAGCAGGTCTCCTGGGCTTTCCTTCCCCTTTTTCATCTACCAGGGCTAAGGCAACTGCTCCCTGTTTCCCAGCTGAGTCGGTTTGGGGCTGACTGCCCAACCTCAGATGATTCTAGTTCCTGCTGCGCAGCGGGAGCTGGGGTTCAGGCTTACACAAACCTGTGCCCGGAATCTTGGACGACCTGTAGGTCCTCTTGCGCCCTGATGTAGGACCTTTCAAAACCCCCCTCACGGGGGTGCTCTCGCTAGGATGCCGGCCCCGGGTCCTTCTGTGGGGTCGGTGGAAGAGTAAGAAGGCCTGCGTACCGCTGCGCAGTTTAGACCTCCGTGTCCCCACTCACGGAATGAGGCGGCAGAACGATTCCTGAATGTTCTTGTCTTTGCTTTCCCGGCAGGTGGAAAGGAGCCCGCGAGGAGGCCTGGAAAGGGAACGCCGGCCCCTGAGGCTTTGGGCTGGGGCGGCCAGTCGGACCGGGCGGGAGAGATTCCGAAGAGAACGCCAAGCAGCCTGGAGCTTGGAATTCCCGCTTCTCGGGGCCCAGGCTGCCCCCCTCGCCACAGCCTGAGCTGTCCCCGCCGGCGGCGCTTTGGGGCTCGGCTGCAATGAGGCTGCTCCTTAGCCCCGCACCCCAGGAGGCGCGCTGGCCGGGAAGCCACCGCCGCGCCGCCTCAGTCTCAGCACGGAACAAACGGTTAAAGATTTTGGGCAGCGCCTCGCGGGGGGGAGGAGCCAGGGGCTCGATCCGCAATTAAAGATGAACTTTGGGTGAACTAATTGTCTGACCAAGGTAACGTGGGCAGCAACCTGGGCTGCCTATAAAGCGAGCGCGCGGCAGGACTTGAAGCGCTGGCGGCGGCAGGTGGCGCGGGAGGTCGCAGCGCGCCATGGGGCTCCCCGCGCTGTTGGCCAGCGCTCTCTGCACCTTCGTGCTGCCACTGCTGCTATTTCTGGCCACGATCAAGCTCTGGGACCTGTACTGCGTGAGCAGCCGCGACCGCAGCTGCCCCCTCCCATTACCCCCAGGGACTATGGGCTTCCCGTTCTTTGGGGAAACACTGCAGATGGTGCTGCAGGTAAGGGAGCCCGGGGCGCGACCCGACGCCTCCCCAGAGTCCGGCTGGGCTCCTCGGCCAGGCGTACCCCTTCCCACCCCGGGAAGGTAGGCTTCTGCCACTAGGAGCAAGGCACCCTCTCATGCCCGCCCCTCTCCCACACCTCTCTTTCCTAGCGGAGGAAGTTTCTGCAGATGAAGCGCAGGAAATACGGCTTCATCTACAAGACACATCTGTTCGGGCGGCCCACAGTGCGGGTGATGGGTGCGGACAACGTGCGGCGCATCTTGCTCGGAGAGCACCGGCTAGTGTCTGTGCACTGGCCGGCGTCCGTGCGCACCATTTTGGGCGCCGGCTGCCTTTCCAACCTCCACGACTCCTCGCATAAACAGCGCAAGAAGGTGAAGGCGCGGGCAGGGAGGGGCGCCTAGCCTGTAGAGGAATTCAGGCATATTGGTGTTGGGCCGGTGCTGGGTGCTCCTCGCCCCGCTCGGGTGTAGCTTTCCCTGGCCGGACGGGCGTGGGCTGCAGGGGCTAGGGGTATTTAGAAAGCCAGTGGGATAGGGAGAATTGTGGGTTTTGTGTGTGTGTGTGTGTGTGATTTTTTTTTTTTTTAATCCTCTGCTCTCCTCGGGGCTCAGGTGATCATGCGGGCCTTCAGTCGTGAGGCGCTCCAGTGCTACGTGCCGATAATTGCCGAAGAAGTGAACAATTGTCTGGAGCAATGGCTCAACTGCGGTGAGCGCGGACTTCTGGTCTACCCCGAGGTGAAGCGTCTTATGTTCCGCATTGCCATGCGCATCCTGCTGGGCTGCGAGCCCAGGTTGGAGGCGGGCGGAGAAGATGAGCAGCAGCTAGTGGAGGCCTTCGAGGAGATGACCCGCAACCTCTTCTCACTGCCCATCGACGTGCCTTTCAGCGGGCTGTACCGGGTAAGGGCGGCGGCATTCAGGGTGCAGAGCTCCGGACGCGGGAGCCGCACGTCTGCTCACCGGCGCGCATTCTCTGCGCTCAGGGCGTGAAGGCGCGGAACCTCATTCACGCGCGCATCGAGGAGAACATTCGTGCCAAGATTGGCCGGCTGCGTGCTGCCGAGGCGGACGGCGGCTGCAAAGATGCGCTGCAGCTGTTGATCGAGGACTCGTGGGAGCGGGGAGAGCGGTTGGACATGCAGGTGAGAGGCGGTTGCCCGAGCGGCGAGGCCGAGCTGGGGTCCCGGCTCTCGGCGCGCAGTTCTCGGCCCTCCCCACCTCAGGAGAGGGCCGCCCCCCAGATTCTCATCACCCGGGGAGAAGGGAACTGAGAGCATCTCTCAGCGTTGTGCGGGGTTTCCGAGGGCAAGCTGGCATTTGCAGCGCGAGAATAAAAAAAACTGTGGGAGACGCAGTTCTTGTGGCAATGCAAGCTACGGCTGTCACTGGGAAGTTCTCAGAGCCCACCCTTCCTCACTTCCTTCTTGTGCGCAACCGAAGGGACCTGGCATTTGGTTGAAAGGCGCGCTGCCCCCTTGCCTCCCTGTCAGCCCCGGTGGGATTCTGAGCAGTGGATTACGCAGTAGCACTGCGCACAGCTGGCTGAAGCCGTGGGTCTGGATTCGTCCTTAGGCACTCAAGCAATCGTCAACCGAACTCCTCTTCGGAGGCCACGAGACCACGGCCAGTGCGGCCACCTCTCTGATCTCTTACCTGGGCCTTTACCCCCATGTGCTCCAGAAAGTTCGAGAGGAGCTGAAGAGTACGGTAGGGAGTAGTCTGGGTGTCCCTGTCAGCTTAGGGGAGATTCAACTGGCCGCCCCGCTTTGGGATAAGGCAGTGCTGGGACAGGAGCCTGTATGTGTGTGGGGAGGGGGTTTGGCAGTGGTGGTGGGGTAAGGAGTAGTGTATTCCCTTGGGCATGGGGGCTTGGCCTTATATTCCTTCCCATCTCCCACATTCTGCCCAGCTATGGATGGTTCCAGAATAGCTTCCACTTTCTGGGCTTTGGGTGTCCAGTATGGCTGAGGCGGTGGTGGTCAGCAGCAGGTGGGATGGGAGGAGACTATTGACCCTGTGCGCCAGGGCCACAGCATTCTCTTGGAATTGTAAATAGGGGCAAATGGTCAGCAGCTGCTGGCGTGCCCCCAGCCCCCATGCCGAGGCCCTTGGGTTTCAGGCCACTTCAGTCCTGCTGACCTGTGCTGGGCTAATGTGATTGGAGCCTAGAGTAACTGTGCGTCTCCCCCGCTCCCCACCCCCAACCGCGTGACTGTTTTGATAGGGTTTACTTTGCAAGAGCAACCAGGACAACAAACTGGACATGGACATTTTAGCAAAGCTAAAGTACATTGGGTGTGTTATTAAGGAGACCCTTCGACTGAATCCCCCTGTTCCAGGAGGGTTTCGGGTGGCTCTGAAGACTTTTGAACTCAATGTAAGTTGGGAATTCTCTCCCTGCCACCTCCTCTCTCTCGTTGGGGCTTAAAAGCCTATCTCTGCTTTGATGCACACTGGCTGGAATTCTCTACCTGCTTGCTCACCAATTCCTGCCCCTTGTGGATACCCATCCCAGCCACCTGAATCTCTCCCGCCATCTCTCTCTCTCTCCCCTCCTCCCAGTCTCTCTTTGAACTCCTAACTCCCCCAGTGATAGCATCAATCTCTTTTTTGTGGTTCCAAGTTAAATTGCAGCTTGTCAGTCCTTGGGTCTTCATAATCTTTCGTAGGGATACCAGATTCCCAAGGGCTGGAACGTCATCTACAGTATCTGTGACACTCATGACGTGGCCGAGATCTTCACCAACAAGGAGGAGTTCAACCCAGACCGCTTCCTGCCGCCTCTACCGGAGCACGCATCCAGGTTCGGCTTCATTCCTTTCGGAGGTGGCCCTAGAAGCTGCGTAGGCAAAGAGTTTGCAAAAATTCTTCTGAAAATATTTACAGTGGAGCTGGCCAGGCATTGTGACTGGCAGCTGCTGAATGGACCTCCTACGATGAAAACCAGTCCCACCGTGTACCCTGTGGACAATCTCCCGGCCAGATTCACTCAGTTCCAGGGAGGCCTCTGAGGGGCTGCCAGCCTCGAACCCTAGACTGATGGAAGCTGTACATGAGTTTTTTTTTTTTTTTTACATAGTGTTGTGTGGACTCTATTTAATTTCTAAATGTATATTGTAATATTTATGTGTCTCCACCACAGTACCATGGTCTTTAAAATATTCAAATAATAAATTTGTATAATTTCTAAATCATAAAGTGGAATGTGAAGATATTCTCCTGGGATTTAAGAACTGTGTCTGGGGCAAACAAATCCCTGATTTGAGATCTTTGCTCAATGGTGTCTGCCTGGCTGTACCTGCCACGTGTCCCTTTCCTTTAAAAGAATTATTACATTCCCCCAGAGTCTCTTGCAATGTCAATTCAGAGGTGTCTTGTGAATTCTTTGATAGTCATTAGATTTCCTGTTTGGAAAAATCTGTCCACGTTATTTTTCCCCCCCTCTTTTAAGGAAAGATGATTCTGAAAAAGTGTCACTTTGATAAGAAATATTGTCCCACCGTAACACCTGCAGCTCCTCTGGTGTTTTATAAACCTCATCTACCCGTGTCGCTATAAAGTGCTAGAAAATGTTCTCTGAAGCTAAAGCTTTACATAAGAGGCTAGTCCCTTGCTTCTAGATAGTTCGCAACCAACAGGCCAACGGGAACTGGTGGCCTGCTGCCTCCCCTTAGAAGGTATTGGGAAAGCAAGCGTCTCGTTTAGATAAGCACAGCCAGGTTTTCTTTATTCAAAATGCGGCAGGAGGAGCAGATTTTAGTTTTAGACAGATAAAGTTTTTATCTGTCCCAGGCAATAGGGTGTGAGCCTGACATGACTGATAAAATGGCCCAGTCATGACCCTGTGAACCTTGGCTAACCCCCGCAAAAGCGCAGTTTTGTCACATTTCTGACCCTGGCATGGCCACGTTCTGAACTGAAGGCCAAACTCTCCATCCAGAAAGGTTTGCCTCGGTGACGCGCTGACGCAAGCACATTTTCAGTTCTGAGGTGGCACAACCCACGCACTGAACCTCTCATGGCTTGTAGGTTTTGGACTTTAAAATTTTCATTACAATATTAGGATTTGGCAATGCTGCAGAACCCGGGTGGTCTAAATAGGTGTTTCCACAGAGTTCTGCCTACAATTACACTTATATATATGACCCGACTTTAGCTTGTAGAAAGAATGTAGCTTGGGCTTGTAGAAAGAATGGTCTGAGTCTTCTGATTTCTAAATGATATTTACGTAATAACTTAGAATGCTTCATCATAACCTTAGGCAGCTGTTTGTTTTTTAGATGAAATTACGCCATCTTACACAGATCTGGCTAACACGTTAGGATTCTATAGTTAGGGAAAATGATCTCTTTCCACCCTCTGCCCCTACCGTTTGCTCTGCATATTTCCAGCTTGGAGCACACCGGTGGGAAGGTGTCTCTTCTCATAATTTATTCTTCATGATTCATGCTTCTCAAAGGGCTCCAAGGCTTTGCATTTTGCTGGAGGTCCAATCACCTTTGAACAGCATCTTTGGTGACTTTGTGGCTGTGTGTTCCTGTGAGAATAGTGAAATAAGAAACTTGAGCCATGTTAGCCTATCATTCCACTTTGAAAAATCCATTTTCTTCCTATGATTTTAAATCTGGAGAGCTTTGAGGCAAGCGCTTCTAGTTGCATTGCCCTTTCTGATCAGTTACAGGTCAGTATAGGATTTACTCTGAAATCATGTCAGAAACACAGTTGCTGATAACATGATTGGCACTGAGGAAGGTGATCAGAAGTACATGAATGGGGGCAGCATGGGTGTTCGTGGATGCTGTGCTGGCCAGAGAGGGAGCCTTGGTTACATGCATGTTTGATGGCGCAGGTACCCCTGGGCCACCCAGCCAGGCAATGATGTAGACTTGGTCAGCACTGTGGAAGGGGGGTGGGCCATGTTAGACATCACCCTGTGGGCTCAGGGGGCCTGATGCCATGACCCAGGGGTGCCGTGGCCCCCAGAACCCTGGCTGTGTCTGTCCAGCTGGTTAGGCTGCTGCCAGGTGCCTCCTCTCTGGCAAAGTCTTTTGCTCCTACCGCTTCCCAAGCCCTCTTGTCTTTAAGCGGGGCAATGGTGCAGCAAGTGACAAACCATCAGCTGGACAGGGGTCTGACAGTCCAGGGGACGGCAGCCTCTGCTTAGCTGGGACTTTGGGAGGCCCATGGAGCCGCAGTGATTCACAAGGTGGGGTGGGGCAGGACAGGGGTACACAGCCAGGGGCAGGAGCGTGGAAGATCCCCTGATATCAAGCAATTTACCCCCTCTTTCTTCTTTTGATGTTTATTGGAGAGGAAGAGCCATCTTCCCTCTGGGATAGGACCTGTCTGAAGCCAGGAGTGAGGTATTCCACCTGGGCCTGCCACATGGGCGGAAGACACTTCGCACTGTGCCACCATCTGTTGCCTCTGGGGTGCATCAGCAAGAAGCTGGATCAGAAGCAGAGGCTGGGGCAGCCTCGATCTCAGCCTCTCCAATGTGTGAGTGTTGATATGGGTGGGTTGAGCCTGCTCAACACACTTCCCTTTTCTTTCATTTTTTTAAACAGTTAAGAATAGCTGTCCAATTTCATGCTAACTTCCCATCACCAGAAAAGTAGACTGTGGGGTCTCCATTTCCTAAGTTCCCATCATGTCCCCTGACACTACTCCTGTACTCCATGACAGCGGCCATCAGTTCTCTCTTGGCCACCAGACGTGGCGAGTGAAATGCAAGCAGTGAGAGGAGGTGGCTGTGGCTGCTCCCTGTTGCTGTGGGTGTAGTACTTCTTCACCTTGCCACCACCCTAGAGGTCCACAAGGGGGCGGGCTTCTCCCTGCTATGCCAAGTTCAGGGCCCAGTGGTTTCCCCCACCAGTGTGCCTGAAACCCAAGGTCCACAGGCCCTGGCGCAGGGCTCACTTCTGTCCGAGGCCAGGAGAGGCCGCAGGGCAGCCAGCACGCTGCAAGGGCTCAGCGTCAGGCCTGTTCCAGACTGCCCGGCCACTCTGGAAGGGTCGCCATCTTTCCTTTCTGGCAGCAGTCACTGTCCCGCTGTGGTCTTCCACGCCAGCTGGTCTGGGTGGCCATCACACTGTCCCTGCTCCTGCCTGGGCTTCTGTCATTCCACTGGGAAAATCACTCTCAGTTTCCAGGGAGCAGGCAGCACCGTTTCCTCCGCCCAGCCTCCCCCACCCCCCAGGACAGTGGAGACTAGTCAATGTGCAGATGACTTTCACTGACCCGAGCACCCGCCCACCCACAGGCTGGGGAGGCGCAAGGAGCGTCTGCAGAGGTGGTGGCAGCTGCCTTGGGGATTCGAAGGCCCAGGGTAGGAGACAGGGGTTCCTGCAGCCAGGGCTCAGGAAGTGATGGGAGGAAGGAGATGTTAGTGCCACAGAAGGAAAACGTTTTGAGGTAAGGAAAGCCCTTTGAGGCCTGGGGGCATCCAAGTTTGAAGATGCCATCAGGACCCCAACATGGGCTATGGAGGACGGCTCTCCCAGGTCCCTTCTGGAACTCAACAGAGTTGGATTTTGGATCCGTTCCTTTCTTAGGTATCTGACTTGGAAATGCAGGCTGATTCCAGTGGAAGGAGATGGGACATTCCCACCACCTTCTGCCTCCTTGGCGAATGAGCGAGTGGAGCGCCAGAGGGGTGGAGGTGGGAGCCCGGGGATCCACTCCCATGACCTCCGGAGGCACCAGGAACCTCTCTCCTGCCCTGTGGCCCCATGCTTCCAGCTGCTGTCCCATGCCTGCTCCAGCAGCCACCTAAGACCTCTGCCAGTTGTCTTGCACACATCAGACCCTAGATTTGTCCTGAGGTAACAGCCAGCTCCTTTTGTAGTGTTCCCTGGCCTCCCACAATCCCCTGTGCTGCCCTTGGCCCCTCCCAGCTGCCCTTGTCCCCCACTTCCCGGAAAGCAGCTCCAAATGAGGAAGCATGTCTCCTTGTCTTGTAAGCTGAGCTCCTTCTCACCTCCCTCACGGCCTTACCTGGAACACGCGCACGCGCAGTAAGTGTTCTCCACACACGGACGCCGTTTACCCTGTGTGTCTCTAACTTACATGGTGCTGTGTTTTCCTTTGAAAGTGAAACCTTCATCCTTGGAAAATCTCTGCAGCCACAAGCGTACACGGCTGTGGTTTAACAGCATGTCACATTCCTGAGACCAACGCTCCCTGGGTACTTGGCCAAACAAGCTTTCCTGCCTTTGAAGTAGAGTCAGCACGAGTTAGAACCTTGGGCTGGGGCTGGAGACGTCGCCTGGACTGTGCGGTGGGCTTTGTCGGTGAGAGTTCTCGGGTTGCAAGATTCACAACCCTATCCCTTGGGCCCAGAGCTGTCCCGTGCTCTCATGTCTCCCCGCCGTGATGTACCGTTGTTTCGGCGAGAGGCTCAGAATCCATCTGTGTGCTTCTCAGGGTAACCACCTCAGTGTTTTTAGATTAAATCAGTACTGGATTTGCCTAAATTGTCAAGGAAGGGCAGGGGGGTTTGCTCATAGCTGATGTTTGGGGCTGGTGCTGCAGTTTAAGCTACAGCCTATGACACCAACATCTTCTATGGCAGCCAGTTCACATCCCAGCTGTTCCACTTCCAATCCAGCTGCCTGCTGAAGTACCTGGAAAGTGGAAGTAATTCCTGCCACACACGTGGGAGACCTAGATGCATTTCCAGGTTCCTGACTGTGGCTTGGCCCAGTCCCAGTTATCACCATCTCAGGAGTGAACCAATGGGTCTGGCTTTCCCTCTGTCTTCTCACCCTCTCTGTAATTCTGCCTTTCAAATAAACAGATCTTTTTAAGACATTCTGTGCAACACGACAGTGACTCCCTTAGTGATGGATAAGGCATGCAGCATTCTGGAATGGGGAATTTACATCACGTCCGTCGGTCACAGTGGGCAAGGTGACAGAAGAGGATGCGCCCAGCATGCCGTGGAGCTTGGCTCTCAGCTCAAAACAATAACCCCAAGGGTATCACTAGTTGTACTGCTGGTGAGAGAAAGGGACAGGTGAGCAGAGCATTTGAGAATAGATTGGGTTCAAGCTCATGCTTCTTACCTTACCTGTGGGAGTGCGGGCAGAATCGAGTTTTGGGGCCAGAAATCCTGCAGTTCGGTGTTTGGCAGAGGGAACAGGTGGCTGGAGCAGACCATTCTGGCAGAGCCCGAGGCTGGGGCTGCCTGTTGCCAGCGGAGCCCCTTC